CAAACAAACCCCTAAGTGCTACTTTGCCAACCGAGAAGTTCCTGCTGGCAAGGACACTTGACAAGGTAACATTCCACCGCATCTTTGAAGAGTGGAGATAGCCTGGCCAAGGAATTGCCCCCCACCCCCACCCCCTGTTCTTCAGAAAGCCCTTGAAGGAATCAAGGGTGTTGGGAGGGGAGCTTTCTCCCAGGTCAGTCTGAGTTTGAACTGTCTCCTTGCCTGGCATACCAGTGTTTTGTCCCACCTCTGTGACCAGCTGCAAGCAAGGAAGGCGGGAGGCAGAAAGGCTGAGCAAGCAGAGTTTATTGCTTCCGGACAGCAGCTGAGACGGAGCCCCTAGGGTGGGGTCCGCAGCTACTGCCAACTCAATAAGGGGGAAAGGGTCTTTTATATAGATCTAGTTCACATTCCAAAGGCGACTGATAGCTGTGTCCCCGGTGCTAGGTGCTAGGTCCAGTTCCTCCACCTGTATCTCCGGGATGCTAGGCCCAGCTGACTATCAGTTTGTTATCCCCTTTAGCTAGTCCCATATCAAGCTTGGATGCAAGGCTGAATTCTTTCCTTGTCTTTGGTTCCCAACACCCAGGACCAAAGAGGGCTAGCCATCAACCAGTCCATATTTTGGCTGGAATTTTTTTTTTAATAAATAATAGAATAGTTTATTTCTACATCATTTTGTGCATTTTTCCATCTCAGTTGTAATCCCCGAGGGCTTCCCATCACCAGATCACCCGTGTGCCATCACCATAGTCCAGGGCACTTCCCTCCCCCCCCCCCGTTTTTGATCCCATTCCCCACTCCACCCCCGTACAATGTCTCTACTATATAGCTGTTCGTTGTTATTATTATTTTCTCATGTGGTCCGTTATACTCCTGCTATGAGTGAAACCATCTGGTATTTTTCCTTTTCTTTCTGGCTAACATCACTTTCCTTGGCTGGAATTTTTAACAATTGTTTTCTCTGTGCCTTTGTGTTTAGAAGTCTCTCTCTGTAACTGTTGAAGACTTGATTGTTGATTGGGTTTTATACGCATTAAGTTCTGGATTGAGTTTCCCAAGCTCATTATAGGTTTAGCTCCTCCTTCCCTGTGATTAAATTGTAATCACTCTTCAGCTTTTCTCAACTTGCTCTCCACAGTAGCTACTGTATTAGTTCTATTACAGCCCTCCTCAACAGAATAATAAAAAAAGCACTCATAAACACACAAATCCACAAATCACAATAAATTAATTGTGAACACTAATTTAGCCGTCTGTTTAAATGAGACTAGGACTCTAGAAGTGGCGGATCCACACATGTGTAAATCAGCAACTGCAGGACACAGCATGCTGGAATTTTCCACTTTCCACCTTCCCCTGAAGACTCCAGAGTCTATAGGGATTATATCATCCCCTGGGGGAAGTGCTAACAGGCTTCACCATGAAACCATTGTTGGAGGCACAAAGGAAGCCATTCCATAGCCTCTGGATTCTTCTAGGTTGGCAAATAAACACACAGCAGACCAACTGATGAGAAAAAAGTCGAAAGAGTTTTAATGACAGGTATGCCTCCTATATAAGTGGGAGGGGCCCAGCATGACTTCAGGTGCCATTGTCAATGCTATAGACAGAGGAACTTTGAGGGGAGGAAAGGGGAGGTGAGTTAGGGAGTTTACCAGGGGAAGGGCACAGCTAACTATGGCATGCAGATTTAAGTTCTACATTTTTCATGGAGAAGAGATAAGGAGACCAGGTTTTCCTGACACCGAGAAGTTGACATGAAATATGTGACCTCCAGAAGTTTTGAGAGCCCCACCCATGGGATCCAGCTTTTGCCAAAAAGACATATTTTGATGCAGCAGATTTTTGTTCTATAATACTCTCCAACCTGCTCGCTCTACTGTGGTTGTTTTTAATAAAACCAACTTGTGACTGTAATAATTGATTATTTTTGTTTGAGGTCAAAGAAACTGAGGAGAAAGAAAACAATGAGATGGAAGTGAGTGAGATAGAGTCCAGAATTCTTGTTTCACATTCAGATTTGGCTCTTTCATCATAATTACCCAAGCGAGAACGCCTCCTTTATTTCTGATATTAAGCTGTTTCTTCCGCTCCTGGTAGATGACATCACGACTTTTTTTTTAGGAAGTAAAGGAATAAGATAGCCTATGTCTTTACTGAGCAGTGCTTGGATGGCAAAACCTTTGTCCCAGAGAGGAGCTAACAGTCTAGGGTGGAGAATGAAGGCAAATGGAAAAGCAGCTTCAGATGCAGATGATGCCTGTTGAAAGGGAACAGAACTTATCACCCCAACATACACCTCTTTAAAATAATAGAAGACATAGGAAAAGCTCTGGAAAGGAACTTGAACTTACCCTTTTGTTAGAGACATTTCCAAGAAAAACGTTCATCTGGGTTCAGAGAAGAAAAATGTAGGGTGTTTCTTCTCTATATCAAGACATGGGGGATGACCAAATCTCAAGAAACTCATCAGTGGAGAAGGCAACTTAAATCTGCTTAAGAGCTAGATCTCCATTCACTGAGCTTTGCCTAATAATCTACCCTAAGTGTTCTCCTGTCCCACAGGCCTTCTTTTGTCTTTAATTTAAGGTGGTAGTTTGGGCTGTTTTAGAGCATTATTCCATTTTCTTGGGTCTTTCCCAGGAATATGGGAGGTATACATTTGACGGAGGTATACATACGAGGGATGCGGGATGCATATACAACTCAAGACCTGCTGGTTTGTAGTAGATCACTTATAGCTAATGTCCAATAAACCCCTGCAGCCTCACAAGAAACTGTTATGATCCTCCTAATTACTTAGGAGAATGGAAATTTGGCATATTACCTATAATAGGGTTTTTGGGGTATTACCTTTAATAAGGTTTTTGGGATATTTCCTATAATAAGGTTTTTGGGATATTTCCTATAGTAAGGTTTTTGGGGGGTATTTCCTATAATAAGGTTTTTGATTTTTGTTTGATCAGATATAGGCTTTCTTTCAGAGAAACCTATCTATATGGCAGGACAGACAGCCAACTGCACAGATCTGGTCACGTGAGGCCGTCTTCTCTTCCTGAGACTCCCTCTCTCTTCTTGAAAGCCCAGCTGCTGTCCCATTCTTAACTCAGGACATATAGCGCCACATACAGCTTCAGGATCCACGCATGTGTGAAATCTCCATACATGTGTAATTATATTTGTCCTTTTCTCCTACTAATCTGTCTGATGCTAATTTGATTGCTTGACCAGTCAAAAAAGAACCCAGAGGGGTAAGGGAAATTTCCTGTCTGCCCTGACATTATTAAACTTCAGCTTGTTTTTCTCTTGTTAATCTATCTTTTATTACAGAGCATGTCTCCTTGAGAATCTAGAGGGCAAGAAAGAAAATTATGCTTGGTTGTCCACACCGTGCTATTGAGGCTATCTAGAGAAGTGAAGTTTGATCAGCTGTAGACTGGGGAGAGGGGCTTTTAGGTGAAAGGGGGAAATGTGCCCTGAAATGTCTCTTTGCCCTAAGGATTATTTTAAGCTGGTGGTCTCAGGAACTAGCAAACACTACAGAAAGGGGTGTGGTTTCGGTTTTGCAAGAGACATTTCCATGTACAAAGAAAAACCTTCATTTGTATATGGAAATGTCCTCTTATATACCCCAGCTATTTAGGAAAGGAAGAAAAGGTGATCTACAATCCTTTCTGAAAAAGGGGCTGGAGAAGCAGGATTCTCAGAATGGGGAGGGGAGCTTAGCAGCCAACCTGATGTCAAATCTATCAGCCTTTAAATGGGACAAATCAGATATACTTAAAGAGTGTTCGAGAAGAAATGTTTGAGGATCTTGTTCAGCCAGCCCCTTAACTCTACAGAAGGCAGCAGACGAGCCCCAGAGAGCAGAGGTGAGGCGCTGCAGGCACCTCTCAGTTCACGCTGCTGAGAGGTGGACCCCATTCTGGGAATCCCTGTCTCTGCATGTGGTAGCTGTGAACCCAGCTTACTGGGAAACAGGAAGCAGCTCCTCCCAGGAGCCTCCTTTGAAAGAGGCCACTCTCACAGTGGCCCTTGGGGTGTCTGCCCCATGTGTCCAAGGCCCACTGTGTTTGTGCTGGATAAACCCACTCCCCCAGCCTTGGAACATGGCCAAGGAACCCCTGGCTGGTGCCAGTGGGAACCAGTCCCCCCGGGGGCTCTAGGTGTGCCTGCCAGTGCTTTCTGAGCCCCTGGATGAGGACGGAGGGGAAGCTGCAGTGCCCTTATATAGTCAAGAGCCCGTGAGCCAACCTTGAGAGCTGGGGCCAGAGGGAGGGCGGAGGGAAGGGGGCATGGAGGACAGGCGGAGGGGGTTTGGGTTTCGGGGAGAGAGAGGGGCAATTCTGGCTTCCCTTTCTGCACCCACTCCTTCTCTGAACAGGGGGGCACCTTGCAGGGTCCCTCCCGACAGATAACAGGCACTGCCTCCCTGGGCCTGGACCCGAGCCTGTCCTTTTCCAACAACTTGGAGGGGCCTCACACGTGCAGTGGGAAGAAACATTTGTTCGTGGCATCTACGAGAAGTTCCACAATGGACGCCCCCCTTCTCCCCAGCTCCACGCTACATCCCCAAGGCTTGTTTCCGCTGGGACGCACAGCTTCACCTTCAGAGTCAGCCTCGCCATGTACTGCTAGGGAAATGCTCTGGACTGGCTGCCTCTGCATCCACACCCCACAGGGCCCCAGGGTGCCTGGGCAGGGGTCTGCGGTGCGGTGGGGCCAGGGGAGCATCGAGGTCCTACCTTCCCCCCCCGAGCAGAGTCTGTGAACGTGACGCCCTGCACATTCCCATGGCGGTCATGGAGACCATGACAGAAATACACCAGAGAAAGCAAATCAGCCTGTTCAACGAATCAGCCGTATCAGCCGTCAGAATGGGGCGCTCGGGACGGTGTCATCCCCATCCCTACCCTCCAGCAACCTCACACCTCTTCTCTGGAGTTACAGCACATGCTAGAGCAGAGACACCTAGAAGGTTTATTTTCAAGGTCTTGCTAGTGAATGAGGAAGTCAGCCCAAGACAGGCAGTGGGGTCCTGACACAAGGGGAAAATAAAGAGAAGACAGAGGCATAGAGAGAGTTAAGCCAGGGAAGCTCATCCCTTTCCTCAAGCCTCGCCTGGCCTGGGGTCACACTAGCACTGTGATCTCAAGGAACCAGCAGAGCCAGGGGGTGACGGGAAGCCACGGCCAGAGGAAGAACTCAAGTGTCAAGGCCGATGCTCAGGGACGTCTCAGAACAGCCTTGCCAGAAGGGCAGGCAGGAGCAGCATGGGCCAGGTCGCCAGAGTCCCTGAAATGCAAGAGAGAGGAGTGTCAGGTGTCTGGCTCTGGAACTCAGCCACGGAAGCGAACCAGCCTCGCTCGCTTCTGGCGCACACAGGTGTCGAGGGCGAGGAGCAAGCCTAGCCTGGCAGGGGATAACGGGGCTGTCGAAGTCCCCAGAAGATAGGACCTGGGGCTCAGAACTGTACCCCCGGGGAGTCCGTGGGCAATAAACTATTCTCTAAAAGAACAGAGCTCTAGGAAGTAGTTGTCATAGAAGCCAGCACTAGCCTCTGACTAATCCTGAGGAGGCTGAGACAAGGTAACAAAGGCCTGAGGCCTCAGTCCAGAATCTCAGCTCTACAACTAGCTGTGCAGGCCCAGCTGAGTTTCTCTCTGCCCTAGTCCCCCTGAATGCAAAAAGATGTACTACTAGCTGCTATTATCTCGGGATTTTTGTAAGACTTGAGTAAACTCCTATCAAGTATTTGGGACAATGCCTGGCACCTGGCAAACACCACACAAGCACTAGTTTTGAAAATGAGATTCTGGGAGGCCTCTGCACTTTCCCTTACACTTGGTGTTCGTGCACTGTGGGTGACAATGGCCTTGCTTTGGGGAGGGGGGCACTAGGAAAAGCATTGCACCCCCTTCCACCATATGCCAGATCATAATCGCTCCCCGTGCCCTAAATTTCACAGTGACTTGTTGACGTCCTTGAAGGGAGGGAAGAGAAGAATCTCATCATTTTAGTAGGTGTAAGGATGGCTGTCAGGTTATAACTGTGAAACAGAGGTTGATGTTCAATTAAATGTGAAAAAGCAAAAATAGTTGTGGGAGATACACACAGGGAAAACCCTGCAGGCCCTCAGTGGGTGGTTGCTCTCTCAGAGCGAATCCCTCTCCTTGCAGATGCCTCTAGAATCTGTCACTCACCCCAGATGTTAGATAGTTTGCAAACCCTATTGAAAAGTCAGGCTGTTGAGACACTTTGCTCACCCAGATCCCGGGAAGAAGTGAGGCGGCTGAGGTCTCTGCTCTCAGCTGCTTTTAGTCTGACGGTAACTGCTCCCTTCCGTCAGTGCTATTTTGTTGAGCATTTCAGAGAATCAGCACCAAGTGCAGAAAGTTCGTCTTGAGCTTCTTGGCAAACTTTTCGATTGTCATCTAGCTGGGGATTTGAGGATGGGTGTAACGGCCACATATCTGGGCTCTCTGATCCGGGTCACATTCAGGGTAGCAAAATTGTCATAGTATTGCTTTGTAATTGTCATAGTGTTGGTCCCAGACATATTCCTCGGACTTGCCTCCCACTTAAATGCAAATTATCTCATCAAAACTCCCTTGCGATGTCACCACCTGATACACTCTTCCCTGATCTTTTCCATTTCGGTTAATTACTTTTTCAATGTGTTCCTTGTCCACTATCTACCCACTGGGGACTTACTTGCTTATAAATGTGTCTCGTTTTTGTAACTGTTCAATCTCCCTACAGGCCTGTTCCTCTTATATTTGCACACTGATTCCTTTCTTCCTTGGTTCTGATGTCACCTCCTCTGAAAATTTTTCTGATGTTTCAGTCACGTGGTTTTTCTTCCTGTATTTTTAATAGAACATATCCAGCATTGACCGGGCACATGGCCACCAAGGATAATGATACCTTTCCCAGCTTCCTCTGCAGCCAGGTGTGGCCATTTGACTAAGCCCTGGCCAATGAGATGTAAACAGAGGTATACAAGTGGACATCTTCCCTGTTCCTTCCATCCTGCTGCCTAAATACGAGAGTTTGCACTCACGCTGCCATCTTGGTCTATGAAGATGATGCCACACTGTGGAGATGGTGGAGGTGTGAGCTGGAAAAGCCTGAATTCTTGATGACTTCATGGTGCCAGCCCACTACTCTGGGTAGCTTACTTCTGGACTTTCTTTATGTCTGAGAGAAACAAACTTCTGTCCTACTTAAGGTATTCTTAGCCCATCTGGTAACTTTCTATCCCCTCAGCCTCTTTTATTCTTAAATCACCTTTGTATTGCCTGTTTCCCAAATGGAATGTGAGCTCCATGAGGGCCTGTCTTGCTCACCCTACATCTTCAGTACTTAGAATGATGCCTGACACAGCAAACGCTTGGTAAACATTTGTACTTAGGTGACTGGCTCCCAGTCAGACTGAGCATCTCAACCGCCAATCCTGGGTCTGGTCTATTGAGTCCCCACAGTTCCCAGCCCAGGGCCAGCCACTAGAAGGGACTAAATAAATATGCACTCAAGTGAGAGGAAGGAGAGCGCGTAGGGGAGGCTGTGGAGAAGCCACAGGGCTGGGTACCTGCAATGTCCGAGCTGCCACTCACGAGACCGAGAGAGGGGCCACCTGGGGACAAGAACAGAAGGCACAAGTTTTCTCAGGCTGCAGTGGTGTGGCACGTGGCTGCTCCACTCCTCCTGGGCCTGGCATCACCCCACTAGCAACCCACCCTGTGGGCCACCTGCTAAATCCACGCCACGTATTTGAAACTCAATGCCCTGAACGGATGAGGGAAGTCTTATCCCCACTGGTCGGATGGGAGATGAGGCTGGGGGATGGGAGGGGGCCTGCCACACTGGCCTGGCTGGGAAGCAACAGCGCTGGGATTTGAATCTTATCTGTCTTCCCCCAAGTGGAAGCTCCTAGACTCTCAGCTACCCTGTCACACCCTGTGGGGCTTCAAGATGAAGGCTTGGTAAGGGGACACCAGGAGAACCTCCTTCATGAGACAGCCTCAGCCTACTCATTGAGAGAAGGGGGGTGTGTTGGGGACCATGTCTTGGGCTACTGTGAACATGCCATGTGATAATCCAGAGGCTGTGTTTTGGCTTAGCACCCAGCATAAATCATCACTGTCGTCGTCCTCACCCTCATTGCTACTACTACATCCTAATTTCTTTAGGACAAAAACATGTTTTCATTCTTCTTAGCTTCTTAACTCCTCCATTTTGATTGGAATAAAAACCACGATCATGAAACTGCAGGTAGGCTGGCTAAAAATTCTGGGAGCCATTGAAAAGCTTGCCCAACCTCTGACCCCAAATACTGTCACTGGCCTTTGAAAACCAGTTAGAATATACCCCACAGGGGCCGAGAACATGGGAACATCAAAACAAGGGAAGGAACTCAGGATGTGGAAACAGACTGAGCTTGAGCCTGGCATCACCCCACTGGCAACCCACCCTGAGGGCCACCTGCTAAATTCACCCCACATATTTGGGGTTCAAGTCTAACTCTCGTTTCTCACGAGTGGGTGACCTTGGGTACATCACTTAATCTCAGTTCTTCACCTGCGAAGTGAGAGGAAGATTGAGCGAGTCAATGGACACTGAGCTCAGCCTGGCCTCCTGCATGGGGAGTAGAGGGCTGGCAAAGGGGTCATTACTGAATATCGTCACCCAAAGCCCCTCTGGGAAAGGCAAACTGGCACTGAGGTACTGAGCAGGCAGAAAGACTCTAGGTGTTTAAGTTGGTGACTGCAGGGAGCTTTGGTCAATTGTCAATCCTTGTTCAGCTGGCCTTATCACTGAGACTTACCTTTCCGAGTGATAGGTCCCAAATCTAGAACCTGGTCTGGGTTGATGGACGTGATTTCATTGCGGAGTTCATTTCTTGAGCAAGACTGCAGGGATGGAGAATTCTCATTATGTCACAATTTAAAGGCAGGGCTCCTGTCAGACTGCACCTGTGGGGGGTGGAATGGGGGTGCAGCTCTGTCCTTAGAACTGGGCCCATCCACCCTGTGGCCCCAACTGATGCTTCCATTATCTCCATCTGGAATTCTCTGTTATGTCATGTACACCTAGGTTTAAAGTTCATCTCCACTCTCTCTTAGTTCTCCAATTTGAGCCAAACAATATCCATTCTCTATTGTTAAAGAGTAGCTTTCTATGGGTGATGTGAAGACCAGCCATGTCTATACCATGCAGGCACTTAGTTTTACTCAACAAAGTCAGCAATTAGCATGCAGCACCATATAGGGGTCAAGAACATGGGCACTGGAGCCACACAACCGCTCCCATCTTGACCTCTGTGCAAGGGGATGCTCGAAGGCTCACTTTCCTCATCTGTAGAATGGGCCTGGACAAAAAACCTCGTTAAAGGGTTGTTGTGAGAACTACATTAGATATGGCATAGGGAAGTTTTAGTAGTTCGAGAACAGCGTACGCACCACACAAGGCAATAATTGTTATCTTGGAAACTTAATGGACAGATGTCTTCATCTGATTTGCCTCTTAGGGGCACAGTAACAATTTACAAGTAAGCTTTTAGGGATATTGAAGTCCATCCACTCATCCTTCCTTCTTCCCTTCCTCCCTTCCATCCTTCCACACACCCATCATCCAATTGTTCATCTCTTTATCCATCTATCCAATCTTCTCTCCTCTCCTCTCCCCTCCCCTCCCTTCTCCAGCCCTCCCCTCCCTCAGCTTCTCCCTCCTTCCCATCTGTCTGTCTTTCTTTCCATTCATCTTCAATTCCAATAAATACATATGGAGAATCTACCAGGTCCTGAGTTCCATGCCAGGTTCTGAATAGCCCAACCCCAAATGATACTCACTGGCTGGCACTGCTGATTATCAGAATCACAGAGCTGAATCTCACAGTGCAGGAATACCAGGTCATAATTTCCAACAAACATGAACATCTGAACTGAGAACTGGCTTTCTGAAGATATCCCATTCTTCGTTACGGAGATTGTGGAATCGACTCGATTTGGACAGCTGTGGGGTAGACAGGGCAAAGTTCTAACTTCTAGAGCAGCTCAGGGGTCCTGATCCCCTTGCCCCATTTTAAATTTGTCCCCAGTATAAAAACTCCTTCAGAGCAGATGAAATCCCCTTCATTAGCAACATGGACTCTATTCTTGCAGATTTCCTCCAAGACTGGTTTAAGTTTGGGGGGCACACTCTTTTGAATTAGACAAACTGGTTTCAAATTTTAGCCAGATCCACTTTCCAGCTAAGTGACTATGAACCTGCTACTTAAACCTTACAGAGTCTCACCTTTCTTATTCAAACATTAGAAACAGAAGTACTCATCTCGGTGGTTTGATGTGAATAAGATTTGATTAGCTAATGCATGTATACCACTTAGCAGAGAGCTTGGCACTGTAGCTAAACTGAGGTAAAAATACTAATGAGTATTATTAGTGTGGTTCGTATGGTCATCTATAGACACGTGTTTTCTCTTTGTTTTTGCTAGTTAACAACAGTCAGTATTTTGTCCCATAGTGCTTACCATACCGTTTTCATATTGACCATCTCTTGTTAACATCTGCATAATAGTCCCTCATTACTTAACCACTAGACTATTTTTGAACTGTGAGCCTACTGCTGACGTTATAAAGAGTACTGAAATGGAAAATAGTTATTATTTCCTTACCCTGCTGACCTATTTTGCATCAGTGCTTTAGGCTAAAATTCAGGAGAGAGATTCTTGGTTCAAAGTGGGTGGACATGCTATACCAAACCAAATGATTTGTCAAAAGGGCTAAACCAGTGTACTCAATTTCCAGGCAGATGTGAGAGGGTCACCCCCACTCCATGTAGGCCAAAATAATAATAATAATAATAATAATAATAATAACAACAACAACAACAATAATAATAATAATAATAATAACCCCAGCATTGTCCCATACCCGTTTTTGATGATGAAATATTTCAAAGGGTCATTCTTGTTGTTCGTGGGAGTGGCATAGCAATTCTGCAACAGCAGATTGAAGTGGGATGTGTCCCCTTTCTCCAAGATGGCGCCCACATAGAGCATGGATTCTACAGACAACACAGCCTCTGTGCCTTGGAAGGGAGACGTGTAGTTCAAATCCTGGAAGAGGGCCATTCTGACGACGAACTCACCCCTCCCGTCCATGCTGATATTCAGAGAGCTGCGAAAAGGGAGATCAAGAAGGGGAAAAAGCAGGTTTGGAGCAGTGAGAACAAGGAAATTGGATCCCACATGTGGGTGTGGTTATGAAGGCAAAGGCACATCTTTAGTTCCTAAGCGACTTTTTTCAGTCTTTCACTGAAATCAAACCACTGACAGAGAAGTGAGGCTCCAGGGTTCCCACTGACTCCTCTCTGCATCAGGGCTCACCCCTCTTCTCTCCCCTAGTGGTCACTCCATCTCTTCCCCTGTAGGGTGGGGCTCGGGACCAGTTCTATGGGTTCACAATTTCAGCAGCAGACTGCCTCCCTACAGCCACGATTTTGGTGAAATGCCAATTATACGACCATACATGATGGCTTTATTGTTATTTTTAATGGAGCTAACACTATGCCATCGAAAACTAGAAAATTGAACTAGAAAACTTCCAATCTTGCCATTCTGTGAGCCCAAGAGAGGCAAGGAGGGGAATGGTAAGGGCAACCCTGGGTTTCTGACAACCCAAGAAGCTAGAAGCAAGTCTAGAACTGCCAGAGAGCTCATTCAACAGGGCCTCATTCTAGGCACAGTGATACAGCAGCCACCAAAACGGGCAACACCCCAGCTCACAACCAAATTGCTACTTGGTTCTATTTCTGGTGAATTTGGGGTGATGTTTATCTAATTCAAGTGGATCTACGCTTAAATCCCGCTCCCACCATCCTCTCTCTCCTCCACAAAGATGAGATCAGAGGCCCTCATTCCCTTATCTCTCAGCACCCCAGGCTTCTCCTCCATGGTTCACCCCACTTGTAAATTATTATTAATATAATTAGTTGTTTAATGCTTCTCTTCCTCAAGAAAAAAATGCCTCTGTTGTGAGTTCTTGTTCCTAAGCATATTTGTTTCATGTTGCTGCATTGCTTCATAATGATGACCTTTAAAATCCACAAAATATTCCATGTCTGCCTTGTTCATGCTGAACATTAATATGTGATCAACAAAGATTTGTGGGTCATTGTGCAAAGGGACAGAAGCTCCTGAAGGAGGCAGGTGGGCATCACGAGTTGTGCTTGAAGTGACCGATGTCAAGGGGATGAGGCCAGTGCCTACCTTACAATGGGCTTCAGGGCCATCTGGAGGCTGAGATCCATGTCCAGTGGGTAGGCACACTGGAAGTCGATGTTGAGGATGGTGTCTCTGGTGATGATATCATTGCCCAAAGAGAGGGTGTTTTTGTAGATGGCATGAGTTGCATTTTTCTTTGGCATAAAAAAAAGACCATATGTGTGTGTGAGTAGCAGCATCTGGAGCTCACCACCCTCACCACCCTGTGGCTGCTGACCTCAAGGAGGTATGTGGGCCCCCTCCCTGTGGCAGGGGTGGGAACGGGAATGAGGATCACAGATCAGACACTAGAACTAGAACAATAAGATATTGACCCTTGGGAAGAGACGGACCACTTTGCTTACCTCCCTGTTGACTGCTTCCACTCACCCCTAATTAAAGTCATCATAATCATGGCTTACCTTTATTGAACTCAAGCGTCAAACCTGCCCTAAGCTCTGTTTGTCGACCAAAGTGTATGATGGCACACACCTTGGAAAAGCCCAGAGAGGCTTCTCTGTCCAAGGTTGCACAGCTACTGAGAGAGGCCCTGCTCGTCCACCTGGCACCTTCTGGTTACAAAGGTGTGACAGCCCACTCACCTCCAGAGTACTCCCACAGGTAGCCCCCTGGGTAGGACTGGTCACCGAAATCCAGTTCCTTTCCTCTCTTTGCATGACGCTGTTGCAGTTCCGGTCATTCAGGAAGGCAAAGACATCATCCCCAAAGCCCAAGGCTTTCAGATGACACTTGTCCACTGACACCTTGATCTCCTTGGCCCCGCAGTCCAGCTGAGGCTGCAAATCTTTCACATCTGAAAAGTTGAGAGGGGAATCAGATAGAGTGGATGGGGCTCTGAAAGCAATAGACAGACCATGCTCCCTGACTTTGGGAGAGGTCACCGGGCCCTCCAGGAAGCTGGTTGAGTATGAGAGATCTGGGACTCAGGTGGGAGTCAAGCCTGGGTTTGCTGTGGTGAGGCTGGCGAAACAGTCATCTCATGTACAGGTTTTTTTTGAGGACTTTCTTGTTAAATTCATATGGGGAAGTGGGTTCCCTAGGAAACAGGACTGTCTCAATTTCCAGGCTAGAATCAAAGCTAGATCTGCACTGGAGAAGCACATGCCTTCTCGGGTTTACAGATACATCTAATAGGGTTCAGCGTTCTTGTATTCATTCACTGACTCAGTCATTCATCTGTTTATCCAAAGCAAACTTCTTGAGCAGCTACTATCTGCCAGGCACTGTTTAACACTATTAATCAAAACTGACAAAACCTCACTCTTCTAGAGCTAGCATTCTGACAGAGAAGTTAGAAAGTAAATCAAGAGAAATAAGAGTCTCTGAGAACCCCCCTCCCCCATTCTTGTCTGTTAGCTCTTAGCCAGCCCACCTCCCACCTCCCAGCCCAGGGTCACGCAGCTGCTCACCAAAGTTGTCCAGGTTCTGTCTGCAGAAACAGTCCCAGACACCCCCAGAGAGTTTACACTCCTCCTCTGGGCGACAGGTCTTGTCACAGTTGACTGACACATTGACGGACTCTGGGGGTGAAGCGTGAAGGCAGAGCATGAGGAAGCAGAGTAGGTGGACCTGATACCATCAAGGCCCAGGGCACAATCCTGCCCCAGGGAGCAGTTCACCATGATTCTTAGTGGGAAGATCAAGCCTCAGACTCAGATTTCTTGACTTCTCACGGGGCCAGGTAAAAGCCCTGAAGCTGCCCTGTTAAGACCAACCAGTGGTAGGCGCTGTTCTGATCCCCTGCCATGTGCTGGCTCTTTCACATGCCCTGCTGGCTGCATGGGGCAGGCTGGCATGGGGGGATCATGTGGATTATGGGGCCAGGGGCCCTGTGTCCACAGCTCTGCTCTGTGATGTTGGCACATTGCATTGTGCTTCACTGTGCCCCAAGCCTCTCCGTTGAGGGTCGTTACTATAGTGCCTGTTTTGTGTTGACTAGAAGCGTCAATGAGTTAAGAACCTGAAGCCCTCAGGATCGGCATAAGGCCATGATCAGCACTGTACATCACCCATGTTGTTGCCATGATCCATTTTTTTTTTCAGATGAGAAACCTGACATGTAGAGAGTTCAATTAAACTGCCCAAATGAACCCTGAGCCTCACTGTGACCCTACACATAGGGACTAATAATTACATAGGCCTTGTTAATTAACACCCATCCATCGTGTGTTTACACCTCTGAATCTGACTTTTGGGCTTGCCTTGAAACACAGGATGGCCCTGACACTGGGACAGTTTCCCTCTGGGCGCTGATGGCCAGGCGCTGGGTGGGGGGTGGTTTACTTAGATCCCCACAGTTCCGCCTCACCCCCCCGAGCCCTGGCATTTCCCCGGCAGCCCTGCCCTGCAGCTGCCAGGGGTGCTTTCTGCTCACCTGTGCAGTACTTCAGATCGCATTCTGGGGTGCCATGCAGGTGGTACACATAGTACTGGCCCGGGCAGGACTTCACCTGCACCTGGCTCTTCCATAAGCAGCAGTTGCCACTCCAGTGGGCACAAACTGTGCGGTTGACGATGCCCTCCCCGACGGAGGGGTGGGTCCCATTGAGCCACATGGGAGAGGCCGCCTGGCATCGGAACGGTGGGATGCAGGTCTCGGGCATTCTGTCTCCTCCTTCTCCCACAAAGCGGTACCAGCCGAACAGCGTATTGTCACAGCTTATGGTTTCTCCTGCGTTCTCTATGCTTCGGAAGGGTTCGTCCAGGACGGTGTAATTCTGGCAGGGGTCAAAGCAGAGGTGGGCCTCTGGGGTGCCGGGGGCTCCACAGTCCATGTCCAACCCATAGGAGCTGGCCTCCGCCCAGTTTCTGGAACCTGGGAAGTGAAGTGTGCTTTTGTTAACTGAGCCAGCCCAGCGCCTAGACGGTGTTTCTCTCCCCAACACGCTCTGGTTTGGATGTGCTTAGGATGCTAAACATACAAGAGGCACACAGTCCATTCATTAAACATCAGCTCTGGGGTCAGAATAATAATAAAGCTGTCCGTGGGATTTTATAGTCAATGAGGGAGGCCTGAGTGTAAATTAGAAAGATATGCAAGGGGGAAAAACTGTATAGGATCCAACCCATTTTTATTTTAAAGTAAAAGCCTATTTTTTTAAGATTTATTTATTTCTGCATACAAGATCTGGAATACAGGCCAGAGGTGTGGGGGGGTGAGAGAATTCACCAGAGACAGAGTGGGGAACAGGACAGGCAGATGGACGGAAATACACTGCTGAGGGGAGCAGCAGACAAGACAGGAGAGGTCTGCTGTGCCATGCGGGTCACCTTGCTGGCCAGGCTTCGAACTCGTGTTGCAGTGGCTGCGGACAGCTTCATAGTGCTGTGTTTTAACCCACTGTGCCACCAGTAAACATCTGCCTAGAAAAGACTAGAAGATGATAAAACATGTTTCCAGTTTCTGCTGGGGAGAGAATGGACTTAAGATAGCTTTCGTTTCTATCCTATCATTTCAGAAGTTTGAGGGTTTTTTGCAGTGAGCCTGCCTTACATTTAGAATGGGAAGAGTAACTCTCGGTCGATCGGGATCACATGTACAGTCGGTCGCACAAGGCTCACTGCTCAACCCCAGGGGAAGTTCAGCAGCATTTCTGCTGGTGCACAGCCCTGGGGGTGTCAGTCATGTTGAACTTCCCCTGGGGCTGTGAAAGTAGTCAAGTACATTCTCTCCCCATCAGTAACCGACAGTGTGTTGTATCATCTTCCAGTCCTTTCTAGGCAGATGTTTAAAATATAGGTTTTTATTTTAAAATTAAAAATGTGTTTGGTGTTCTGCAGATTTTTTTTGTCTTGATTTTTTTTTAATTTAATGTTTCCCAGATGAGCTCCCTTTATCAGTAGTTATAGCTCTTATTCAGGAATTCTCAGGCTCAGTACTGTGTCCTGTGCTCATCTCCCTGTTATGGGGGATCATTCTGTGCATTCGAAGGGATTTAACAGTCATTCTGGGCTCTTTCCGTGGCAGGCCAGTAGCACTGTCCCGCTTGCCAAAACTCCAGGCTTTGACAAAACTCCCCTGGAGGGCAAATGCACCCCACTGAATCATTGGCTCAAAGGGACCCTGTGTAGTTGCTAATCACAGAATTTCAGATTCAGGCACTGGCTGGCGTGGGAAGCAGCAAGGAGGGAGAAGGAGAGAGAGAACAGCTGATCAGGCTGGGTTTAAATCCACTTCAGCACCTGCTAGCTGGCTGACCTTGGCAGATGGTGAATTCCCCTGAGACTCATCAACAAAATAACACCTGTGAGCTAGTTGGTCTCAAATTTGGTGCATTGCTATGGCCGTGGCAACATTTGCCACACCAGTGCTCTGTCTTATTATGTACGAAATATCTTTGTTCAGTAATTGTCTCTAGAGAGTCATTTCATCCTAAGGAATAATATCTGTTGCTGTCCTAGGGATGATGTACTGGTTATATGCTTTAATAGCCATGGGGGTGTGTGTGAAATATATTCTGAAGGATATATATGTATATATACATACATATATATCCTTCAAAAGTAGTTTAAGAGTTAACCAGTCACCCCCACAGTCATCTGGGATATATTTACCTTAAGTTGTGAAATAAAGCCCAGATCAAGGAGGAGAAATGAGATGATATGTGTAAAATGTCAGGCACAGCATCTGGGAGCTAACAAGAGTTCAAGTTAGTTCTCTAGTTCTGATTTGTTCAATGCAGTGGGTGCCTGGATGATAAGCTAAGGTGCACTCAGCACCCCATTTTCTTACTATGACTCAGAGGGACTTCTAGAAAAAGAGGTTGCAAGCCTTGCTTATGTATGCTCCTGCCTGAGGGAACAGAGTTGCTGTGTATGTTATTCTTGGACTGTTTTCTGATCACCCTGTATTTTCCCAAGAGAAGGTATGAACGGGTTCTTCCCTCCTCGCCACTACAACCCTCCCTGCGGATGATGCGAAATTTCCATTCTAGTGTCTAGCCCAGAACCCTCCTTACAAGTTCCTAAATGCCCAAGCCATAGGTCTTTGGAAGAACCACAGAGAGATGACCAAATCTAATTAGTTTGTCTCATTGATGAGCAAACTGGTTTGGAGGGAGGAAGAGGCACTTGCTAAGAAAAGGATACAGAGAGCCTGGATAATCCATGTCCTCATGATTCCTGGAGCCCTCATCCTCCCCCCCCCCCCCAGATCTCATATGGGAAGTGATGTTAATTGATGTTAACTGGCTCCGATCATCCTTTCTGGGAGAATGTCCAATTTGATTCTAAGAGACTGACTTAATTCTCCACTTACCGTGTCCCCCTGACTCTAGCTTCTGGGTCATTGTTTTAGCCATACCCCTTTCACTGGCCCTGAGCCCCTTCTCACTCCCCAGGGATGGCTGGGGCCTCTGTGACACCAGGTGACAGAACACTCACCTTCCTGCTGCGTGGGTGCTGAGGCCAGAATGCAGGAAGCCAAGGCCAGCCACAGAACAGAAGAGCCCCCCATCTTTTCCATGAGCCAAGACACACACCTCATTCAGCGGTATGCAGACTCTCCATGCAGCTACAGGAAGGGAAAGAGCCAGAGGTGAGCTGGATGGCTGGAGATGGCTCCACTGGGAACCAGGTAAGATGAGACACATGTCAGTTCAGTATCATTTCTCTACTAAGCCCCTTGCATCCCTTAGCTCATTTAAGGTTCTCAATCACTCCCCAGGGAAGGTCCTATTATTGTCCCCATGTCAAAGAGGAAGTAGCTGAGCCCAGAAATATTTACTGAGTGTCTCATATGTGTAGGCACAGTGTTGAAAATTAAATAACTTATGTAAGGTCCCCCACCCAGGTTCTCAGAAATGAACCCATGACGGCCTTCCTGAAGGGCTGTATTGTTGCAAAGCAGGCATGACTTACGGAAATAAACTAGGGTCAATGGAGAAGCTATTGCCAACATCTCTTGCCAAGGGGGTGAGGTTGACAGGAAAGCCATAGTCTAGCTTAGAACTGGCTGCCAATACAGAATGTCCTAGAAGGTCTCAGATGGATTCTTACTCAGGTTGCGATAGAAGCTTTTGGAGATTGAATGGAGGGCAAGCTTCTGGTGCTGTGAATACCTACATAAGAGTGCAAGCTGCCCCTCCATGGTTCTGGGGACCATGGTTCTGAAGCCCCCTGCAGTGTCCTCTATGGGTAGATTCCTGTGAGGCTGGAACCACATCAGACTAAGCTCTTTATAGCTTTCCTATCACGGTGGCTACTCAATAAAGGTTTAAGAGATGAGTGAGTAGGTCAGTGTGGGTAGAAACAAAGCGGCGTGAAGGTCCTGCCAACTCTCAAATTAATAACATTTCCTCTTCTGGGAAAATCTTTCCTCAGCTGGGCAAGTCATTGGATGATTTCTTATCTCCTCAGGAAGACTTCAGTTGAAGATTGAGATCTGTTTCTGGAAGGGATGTCACGGTATATTACAGAACACCCAGGGCTGGTAATTCCGAGAGATAATATCCTAAGTAGAGACAACCCATCTTCCTGCTGGTGTCTGGGGGTTAGGGTGCAAGGACATCTTTAGGTATGGAGCAGTCAGCAGGCAGCTGGGATCAGAGCTGGACCTGGAGGGGTATCTGGAGTACTTGACCAAGGGCCAAGCCCTAAACTCCTTGCTGGTTCTGAAAGTTTCCAGAAATAGACAACACTAGCAAGTCTAGGGAGTTGAGTGTGAGGGAGAACCCCCCCCCCCCACACACACACACTGAAAACAAAGTCTTGTTGGGTCTTGAAGCAGGACTTACCTTGGAGTCAGAATATAGAGTGATCCTTCTCCTTCAGCCAGTGGTGGGAATGCGAGCCTGCTGTAACCGTTTTTTTTTTATTGCAATTTCCCGCCCATGTGGCTCCCAATGATTGGTGCTCAGGACAGAAGTTAGGCTCCTAGCCATACACAGGACTTGCCGTGTATAGGTAAGATAAGATAAATGATTTGCCACAAAGGATGGCAAAAGAGGGGACCTTTGCTCACCCCAATGTAAACCCTTCAACAATCTCACACAAATGCTTCTGCAGAAACAATTGGAATGTGTACTGAGTGCAGACTACGCCCGACACTGTTGGGGGCATTGCAGTCCTGCTTCTCACATTTAATGCTCACCACAAACGAGAGTCTGGTGCCATATTTATTACCAGAAACCAAACACTAACCAAAAGGAAGCCAAATACCCGAAAAGAAGAAGAGCGAAATTAAACAGGCACTTTTTTATACAGTGGCTTTCCAACTGTACCTGGTGTTCCTGTCGAATCACCTTACAACACTTCTGCTTCTGTTTGAATACCACTCAGCTTGAAGCCAGTGAGAATGAGCCATAACGGAGAGGGCACAGGTGGTTCCCACTAGGGAGTCCTACAGAATCTACTCAACATCAGACACTCGATGGTGAAAAGTCTGGGGACCCCAATTTGGAGAGGGTGAGTCATGGAATAACAAAGAACAGGCAAGTCCCCTAAACAAAATAAGCATAGGGATAGGCTCTCCAATCCCCCTCAATATGTCTAGACACTGCTGGCTTCTCTGGAGAGTGGAAGATTGAGATAGGAAGCTACACATCTTGGACTGTTAGACTCCATCTTGGATCTGGCTTGGGGGACATCATGGAGTTCATAAAAGAAATCAAGCTTTTGCATAACAGATGACCTCTTGTGTTTCCCTGCTATTCTTTAAGGACTGAAGGCTTCTGGAGTGCATTCTATGGGGGTCCCAGCATGGATAACACTTCCAGTAAAACCTCAACATGAACAACAACAACAAAAGGTTTGCTATTTATTCCTACTTCTAGTGCACTTGGAGAAAAACCCTAAAGGTGGAACTTCACCACCACCACATATGCAGGATTCCAAAATTCATGTGGACACATCACAGCCCATGGATCCATTCATTTTGCTTGGTGCTCATCTTCGTCTCCCCAGTGGCCATCTTCAACCTTTTAAACAGTCTCTGAAGCCATGGAGCCCCCTCACTCTCTACTGCATTCCCGGCTGTCATCTTGCATTCCACTTCAAGAAAATCTAGGCAACCACACTTTGCCTCACTCAGCTTTGTCTTATTTTTCTAGTTGACTCATAAAGTATTCTCCTCCATCCTCCACTTCCTCCCCCAACCTGATAAAGCGATCTTCCCCCTTTTCAAAGTCAGTTCCTCTGTCCCTCTTCTGACTTCTTCATTCCAGAGGGAACTATGTGAAGGTCATCTCTTTGGCTAGTCCATTGGGTATTTTTGTTCCTGGCACTGGGTCACTAGATCTATTTGCTGTTTCCTCTGAGCTTTCTGCATATCCTTGACTCTCCTGTGCCACCATTTTTTAGATTCTCTTCTACCTATTTGGATACTTGTGTTCTATCATTATCCTGGCCATTACCTTCTTCCTCCAGCTTCCCTTCCTTCTGTCCTTGAGAATGCTGGCAAGTCTAATTTTTCTAGTTACTCGATATTCTGGTGGGGGGTGAGGTGGGGGATGAAGGTCAAGGTATCAGATGGTTTTCAGTTCCACCCATAGGCTGGTGACTTCTGAATATGTATCTCATCCCTTACTACTCCCTCAGACTTCTGATCCACCAGTCCAGTTGCTTGCTGGACCTCTCTGCATTGACTGAGATGCTTAGGCACCTCAGTTCTCCCAAATCTGAGCTCGTCGATTCCATCCTCATGGCATCATCTTACCTCTGTCATTGGGACCACTGTGCATCTGGTCACGGAGGCTAGAAACCTGGCTCCTTCCTTTCTATTACGTTCTTTCCTTTCTAGGGCCCTTTCTTTCTCCCTCAGTGCACTCCAAGTCTTCAAATATTTCTTGAACTTCTTTCCTTCTTTGTTGTCATTTCCCTAACCCTAGCTTGGGTCACCACCATCTCTAATGGGGCTGATTTTAATAGCTGCCTAATGGGCCTCCTTGCTTTCATTCTTGTTCTCTCCCCTGCAGCCAGATGCCACAGTATCATCTCTCATCATCCTCTACCACTAGAATACAATGCTTCTTGAGATATGATCCCTCTCACACCTCCTACCTCATCTACAGCCTCAATAAGTTGAAGTTCTCCGCTCTAGTCAATCTGAGGTTCTCTGAACTCTTCCCCAAGTCCAAACCTCTGCATAAGCTATTTCGTCTGCTGGCTCACTCTATACTCAGCTTCCTCCCATTTGTCATTTAGGTTCACCTTTTCAGGAAGATGTTCTTAAGCCCCTTGGGCTCACTGCTGCTTCTTGTCTCTGTTTCTTTGCCTCTCTGGGCTGACTCCAGGCCCACCCAGTTACCTACGATCTCACCTGTCCCTTTGAAGGCTCTTAGGGCTTTGGACACAGGGATCCTGCTCTGCTCTTGTAGACTGCATCTAGTAAGGAACGACTGCACAAAACACATGCTCCAGATCTTTCTGCGAGTAATGCTTCCAATGTAGGACTGTCCAAGTCTTAGCCAATATCCTGCCTCAAGCCTTTGCACTTGCTGTTACTGCCATCTCTATTATTCCTCTTCAGGTATCTCCCTGATTCACTCCCTTCTGTCAACCGCTGCATTTCAGGAAGACATCCCCTAACCAATCTATGTACAATAACATCCCATCGTTCTCTTGATCTCCCCTTTATTCTTATTCCCCAAAAGTGCCATCAGCACCTGATGCCTCATATTGTCATAACTTGAATGTGGCCCCTATGTAATTGTTTTGGCAAAGAGCTTTATTAATTAGCATGGCATGACATTTTGTATTTAGGATAGAATTTGCTGAGCACTCATGAGGAGGAGCTAGGACTCAAGGTCATATTGAAAAGAAAGTACCATAAAGTTCATATAAACAAATCAGACATAGGACATGTATTCTAGTTTGTCCGTGACAGTAAAAATAGTAGTTAATTTTTCCCAGTGCTGTATAGATGAAATGTAAAATATCTTCAGTTAGGGAGATTTTAAGTTGTGTTATTTTGTGTTAGACTCTTTTATATTGCTCTGTTACTTGTCAGAGGACTACTAACCAGGAATCACAGTTCCTGCATTTCAGAAAACCTGATTTTCCATCTTCAGTAAATAATTGTCAATCAATCCCAAGTCGGTTACTTATACACCAGGACAGTTTCCTACCCTCCCCTAAACCAGACTTCCTTACCAGCAAGGGTGCTGTTCTAATCACTTGCTGTTTCCTTGGTGCCCTTGAAAGTGGCTGGCCTTGAACATGTGCTCAAAATATCTGCTATTTATTAAGCTGAATAACTAATTGATGGAAAACAAGAAAGGAAAGAAAAAGAAAGAGAAGGAAAGAAAAGGAAAAGGAAGCAAGTGACGAACTTGGAAAGGGAACTAATGTGCCTCCCTACCCAGGTCTTGCTTTTGGCCCTTGTTATTCTTTGTCTTTATGTTCTGTTCAGAGTCAAGGTAGAGATGAATCCACACAGGTTCCAGCCAGGCTAAACTGACCAGGCACTGACCACCAACAGGGTGGGGCTCAGCCTTGGGGCCTCTTCTAAAGCAAAGCTCTTGTGTAGACAGCAGGCTGGTATTTCAGTGCATGTCTGTGTGTGATAAGAGGTCCCTTAACTCAAGACATGCTGTTCCCACAGCCCCCACTTGCTGATACACACGTGTGGATTTTCCTGGGGCCAGAGGACTTTAACAGTGCAACAGGGACTTGGGCTTTCTCGGAAAACCATGGACCGAATCCAGGGAAGCAGCTGGCATCAGGGAAGACATTTCCCTTTGCCACTGGCTTCCTCTAGCCCATTTGGCAAGGTCACCCAAAGACCCTTGAGAGATCTTGGTCTTCTAAATCTGCAGCTTCTTAATTTCTCACAGTGACACCAAGGAGCCTCCTGAAAGATCCCCTTTGCAAAGTATCCCCTCCCAATGGGGGTGGTGGGTCTGCTCTCCCATCTCCCATTGCTGCATCTATGGCTGTAAACAGGCTATGTCTTTTGGGCTGAGAGGGAAAAGTGTAGCAATGGAGGGGGTCTTCAGATACAGGTGTTTATTATACTTGACTCTAAGGATTGTGAGATTCCTCAGAGCAGGGACTGTGTCTGTATTTATTCATCAGTGTTTCCCCAGTACCTAGCACAGTGCCTGATACACACTGAGTACTCAAATAACTGTTTCTGGAAGATGGAATGAAACCCATAAGGGCATCATTACTAAACCATTAGGCAGTTATGGTGATGGCACATGGGTGATTTGGTGATGGGAAACTCTAGAGGATTGCAACTGAGATGGAAAAATACACAAAATTATGTAAAAATAAACTATTATAAAATTAAAAAAAAAACATTAGGCAGAAGGAAAAGTCCTCAGACCTCACTTGCAATGCTAGACACACTTATTCAAGTTCTTCTTTTCCTGCCAGATTTTAAGCTACAGAGTCCAAGAAATTGTTTTGAATTGTTCACTGCTGTTCTTTCAGCAGTTGACACAGTGCCTAGCACATAGTAGGTGCTCAAAAGATATTTCTTGAATGAATGGATGGAGAGAGCTCAGATACCTTTACCTAAGGTCACATAGTGAACCAGAATTGAACCCAATCTCTCTGACCAAACTGAATTCCATGAAGGCAGGGATGGAGTCCAATTTTTCCCATCATGGGATCTTCAGCACCAAGGACAGTACCTACATACACTAGATGCTAAATAAATACTTGTTAAATGAATGAACAACTTCACAGACTGAGCTTTAATAATAATAACTATTATTATTATCTGACCACACTATTTAAGGAGACAGGGACCTCATGTCACAAGTTCCATTTGAGAGAAGGCACTTAAGGACACAAGCTGTTTTTTGAAAGCAAATATTAAAGGGGAGAAAGTAGGAGTGTGAGTTCCCTTTTCTGTGACTAAAGCATTAGTCTGCATCCCCTTCCTCATCAGTAGAAAGTGGGTTGGCAGGCACACAGCACAGGATTTCCAGCTGCAAATCACTGGAACATCAGGGTCAAGGTGGCCAACGGAAGCAAAGGCAGCCAGACCTTCAGAAGCCCTGAAACGGAAGCAATCACAAGGTAGTGTCTTTGTACAAAAGGTACAAAGGTAGTGTGGTTGTCTTTGTACAAAATTATGAGCAGATGCCTCCTCTAGAGTGATCAACTGGGAAAACACCCTCTCTGGGATGATCCGTTAGAAAAGGAAAATTTATCTGCTTCAGCCTTAGAGACCCACTAGAAAAAAGGTGTCTACCCTAAGTGGAAAAATAGTTAAAGGTACCCTTCTAAGTAGGCCAATTTGTTAAAAAAAAAAAGTGGTCTTTTTCTGGCATTGGGCTTGGTATCCCCTCAAAAGGGCGCTCTTGTGTAGTGTCCAACCTATTTGCCATTCTGGGCAACCTTAAGGATACAACTTTCTTAGGAGCATGAAGGGCAATCTGAGCTCTCCAATACTGGGAAGAACTAGGTCAGGTGAAACACTAGGCTGGTATCAGAACCTCCTCTGATCTAGGTGCCAGGAGCCAAGTAGGGAAACAATTGCATGGGCTCACTTTTCATTTAGACTTTCAGGCAATTCAGCAGCCATGAAAATCAAGGGCCACAAAAATGCCACTGATCGCTGGACCTTATGGTTCGAGAAACAAAGAAGCAAAAACCAGGGTTTTCTGTTTGTTGGGTTCAGGCTGGGACAAGGTATGGTGATTGGCATACGGTAGCACTCAATATATGTCCATCACTTGTTGAAAAATATCTTGAGAAGGCATTAAATGAGCCTCTAGGCTTCAAAGAAGTGCCTGAGGTGCAAATCTGGAGCATACGTATGACCTTTGTATACAGGATGAAACATGCTTGCATATATCTTTACAGGTAAATAGGCAGGCATGCAACAGGTAGTTTTTGCATCTTTGTGTACAAATATGAATGTGTTCCTGTGACTTCATGTATGTACACACAAACATGTCTAGGGCATGCATACCTGTTTCTATGTGTATGTGTGTATATATACATATATAATACACCCATATGTGTGTTATATAACACATATGGGTGTATTATATAAATACATATATAGGTATGTGTATCAGGATATCTGAATGTATAGGTGAATGTGTATGTATGCATTGGTATATGTGCATACATACAGCCCCTGTTCCAGGTATTTCCACAAATGCAGTTACCTCTTAAGGCTTAGACCAAGCAGGCTAGGTAGTCTAGCACAACCTGTACCCACAGATAAAAACCTCAGAGGAAGATTCTGCTGCAGGTCCCAAACTTACCCCAGTTGCTGGAAGCAGCTCTGGAAACTATGACCTGGACACCTGCAGAGGGAAAGAAAAGGATCAGTGTAAGGGAAAGCATGCAACTAACCAGAAGCCTGGGAAACACCTCTCAAACTGCTCTTCTTGCAGGGGTGTCTTTGTGAAACCCAGATCTGATCATGTCCCTTTCCTACTTTGGACCCTTCAATGGATCTCACTTGCTTTCAGGAGAAAACCCCAAAATCTTAACAAGAACTACAAGGGCCCTCCTGCATTATTTCACCCCATACTGATCTCCTCCTCCTCCCAGTCTGTCTGGGCTCCTCTCAGTTCTTCTGGCAGCTGGCTTCCCTCCCATCACAAGCCCCTTACCTAAGCTGTGCTTTCTGGCAGGGATTTCCTCCTCCTCCCCCTCTTCCCCTGACCCTCCTCAAGTCTTTCTCAATCCTCCAGATGGGGTCTTATTCCCTTGTTGTAAGAGCTCAGAGCCCCCAGTACATTGTCTTTATTGCATTTATCACAACTGCAGTTATGCACATGTAAGTGGGATTATTTTAATGTCTACTGGTATAAACTGAGTCTGTCTGTTTTTGTTCCTCATAAGAGTCCCAATCACTAACGCAGGACTGGACACACAGTAGGCACAAGAATATATTTCTAGAATGGACAGATGAATGGGAACGGAAAAGGGAAGGCAGCTTTAATGCCACCTTACACTTGAGAACCTACTTGCTTCACTTCTTCAGACCCCAAGGGCCAGTTTCCACTCCCTCATCGTCTCCGGCGAACACTCCTTACTCAGAGAAAGGAGGATGGAGTCGCTCCCTTACCTTTCCGTGTGATGGGACCCAAATTCAGGACACGGGTGTGGTCTATGTTACCCCCACTGCGGAATCTGGTCCCTGAGCAAGTCTGCAGAGAGAAGGCAGCAAAGGAAAGTTCCATGAAGGAGACAGCACAGGGGCCTGCCATGGGGAATTGCTGCCCCCTCTCAGGAGTCTCCTCTGGAGTCTGGGCTTGAGGGAGGTAGGGGCAGGATTTGTTCAAAAGACCTGGGCTCCTGTGCTAACTCTATCATTTACAGATGCATAAGCTTAGACGCAGAAGCACAAGTTCTCCAAACCTCTCTCCCCAGATAGAAAAAGGGCCAGTAGAAGACCCCCTTGTTGAGTCCTGTGAGGTATTAGACTTCACACACATGCGGGGCACCCAGGGCTGTAAACGTTCCCTTCTGTGGTTAGAGCACAGGCAAGCAGATAAGCCAGAGTGCTTGCCAGCCTCTGCCAGGCGCTGCCACCACCTGATTTCCCACGGGCTTGGGTCTCTCTGGCCACGCCCATGCCCACACCCACGCCGACACCCTCTTTCTGCTCATTCTGTCCTGGTTCTAAGGGAGAAACTCAGCAGAAAGGTGTGTTTGCGTTCCTTTGATCTTGTAGCCAAATGTCTCTGGTATTGGGAGATGGGTGATGGGGGGGCAAGGAGAGGCGACTTACAGGCTTGCACTTCTCATTCATGGTGTCGCAGAGATACACTTCACAGTGCAGGTAGACCAGGTCATAGTTTCCAGCAAAACGGAACATCTGGACTGAAAACCGCCCCTGGGGGGACTCCCCATTCTCCACCACTTGGATGGTTGAGTCCTCGGTGCGTGGACATCTGGGAGGGTGAATTCGTATAACACAGTTGGTTAAGCAAACACTCTAGGCCAGACTTCTTGCGTCCACTACTTAGTATCTATGCGGCCTTAGGTCACTTACTCAATCTTCCCTCGATCTCCCTATTCGTATATAAGGAAAAAATAATTGTAACTTACACCATAAAATAGTTTTCAGTTCATTTACTCCAGTATCGGCACACAGTAGGTGCCTTGTATTTACTCATCTGTGATGCTAAAGTAAAATTGTCATCCACACAGAGCAGAAATATCCTAAAGCTTGCAGTTTCTGATTTCTAAGGAAATGGCATTTAGGAATCATTGACTACCAGGTATTGGTGACCTACAATGCACCTGGTACTAATTATACCGATGACACCTGAGCACTGAGGGTCACTGGCCACACTGGCATGCGCACCCCTTGCACACATACACAGTGCACACAGACACGCAGGGAGAGATACCTCAACCTGAACATCAAAGACTCAGTGTGGGCATCAGCACCAAGCTGGATCTGGATACTCAGTCCCTCTGGACAGGCAAACTGGGTGCCGCCCGCCATTCATGGTGCTTGTCAAAACTGGTGAAGAACAGGGGCTGAATGAGGATGGCACAGAGAATGAACTGAGGAGGGAACTTCTGGGGTTGGCATCTATGCTCTGCTCTGTGCCACCCCGTTCAGATCTGGCTCCAGAAGGACATATTCCTCTTGGAAAGGGAAAGCCCTGCTGGTAAGTGTGTCTGCTGAACAGGCACAGAGACTGGCGACTGGCCAGGCCATTGGCTGCCCCACGACTCGAGGGGCATCTGGGTGCCCTCCAGCCGCAGTCCCCGTTTCTCCTCCCTTTGTCTCCTCCTTACTCATTCTGGGATATTCTGAGTCCTCAACCCAGTGGAAACACACCGCTACTCCCGACATTTCCTGCTTCGTTGTCAACACTCTAAGCTTTCCATGCAGTTCTCTGCTTATGCCCAAAAATAAAGGGTACAAATCCTGCATCATAGTTCTTAGCCATGCCTATGTGATAGATGAGGACATGAATGTTCAGAGAGAGGAGTTGACTTAGGTCTCAGAACTAAGAAATGACAAAGCCAAGCTCTGAACCCAAATCTCATCCTGTCCTACCCAGGTCATGCCAGTGTTTTCCAGAAACCACCATTATGAATGTTTGCCCTGACGTGTGTGTATGTGTAGGTGATGTGTGTGTGTGTGTGTGGTGTGTGAGTGACATGTGCCCTGCAGTGGAAGGGTGTCCTGTCCAGGCTAGGGCCCCCCTTGACCCTGAACTGCCGGGTTAAGGCTCTAGCGATCCACATCATGAACGGGGATAAGCAGTTTGGAAATGCACACACGAATGAATATAATTTACCGTTTCCATTGCTAGGTGTTTGGGTATTTACACAGAACTTTGGTGATGTTCTAATGTGCTGTAGGCACGGTCCTATCAATTAGCCTCTGGCCATATTGCTTTGTTTTATATCATTTCACTTCAAGTCACGGTTTTCAAGAACCTGTGGGTGTTGTCACATGAGGACTTACTTTCACTCCATATACACCCAAAAGTCCCCCATCCCCCGCCAGATCCCACCCATGGGCCCCGAGGTGGGAACCTTCGCCTTGCCTGTCTTGGATGATGAAATACTTCAAGGGATCCATGGCATCGTTGCTGGGTGTCGCGTAACAGTTGGTCATTAGCAGTGCAAACCGGGACAAGTCACCCTCATCCAGCATGGTGCCCACGTAAAGGAAGGCCTCAGTGGACAGCGTCACGGAGGAGGCCTGGTAGGGCTGTGTGTAGGTGGGGTTCTGGAAGAGCACCATCCGCACGGTGAACAGGCCCGTGCCACCCATGCTGATGTTCAGGGAGCTGGAGGGGGACAGCGGCTGGTGAGAAGCGCCCGGGGAAGCCACAGATAGACCATCCTGTTTGCTCTGCCTCCCTGGGCAGGGCCTTGCAGCAGTTTGTATTTTTATTACTTGCATTTTTATTGCTCCTGCAGTAGAATAGGAGTCACCTGCCCACGATGTAAACTCTGCCCTTGACAAGGTTTACGTTGGTTTGCAAACTGCAGTGTGCACTGCAGCCACCTCAGGACATTGTTGAGATGCAGGCTTTGGGACGGCAGGCTTGGGGTCCGGTTCAAGCATCTACATTTTAAACAAGCTCCCAGGGGATGCTGTACTGTTGATCCTTGACCATATATTTTGTGACACAGGCACCCCTTTCCTTAGTCGCCTTCCCCTTCAAGATGGGGAATACATTCTCAGGGAATTGTCTAGACTCCCTTGATCTCAGCCTATGGGGGTGGAGCGGGAAGCTGGCCAGGAGCAGTGGGGATCTCCTCTGGACGCACCTCACCATTGGCTGCAAGGTGGTCTTCAGGCTGACTCTCATGTCCAGGGGGTAGGAGCAGGCAAAGTTAAACTTGTTGTTACGGTCCCGGATGATGATCTCATCAGCCAGGTAGAGCGTGTTGCTGTATGTGACGTGGGTTTCATTCCTCTGTGTCAGGGTGGGTGATGGGGACGGAGGGAGAAAGGAGCATGAGGAAGTTCAGAATTGGCATCACTGAGTTTTCTCTGACTACCCATGAGTCGCCTCCCCATTTCCATAATCAAATGCCACCACAATGATGACCCCATGTGAGTGGCCTCAACACTCCTCTTGCCTCAGTGCTTGGCCCCTTCATGACCCCCAAGGCAGGGCTACTTCCTTGCTGCCTTGTGATGAGGAGGTTCAAAGAAACTAAGCAACCCCAAGGACCTTGCTCCCTCTTGGGACCTATCAAACCCAACTTTTTCTGGGCCCTCTGCTTCCTCTCGTAAATCCTAAAATCAAACCTTCAGGGGTGTGAAATCACAAAGGTCAAACTTGGCCAAATGACAAGGGCATCTTCCTGTCTTGTGTCTTCTTTTACTTTGGGGGTGAAGGATGAGGCAGATGGGCAGAAGGTACCCTGCCCTCACTCAGTGACCCCTGCGTCCCTCTGGAGGAGGCCTGGCTGGAGGGGGCCATGCAGACCCCACCTCCTGGGATGGACCTGCTCCTAAGCCCAGTGCTGATAGCCACCCGGATGCCCCGCTGTCCTGCTGAGCTCTGCCCCTGCGCTGTACCGTGGATGGGGGGTTTAGTTGAAGTTGTCATTTATTACACACTTACTATATGCCACTCACTGTCCGACCATCTTCACACACATTTAACTCACTTGACCTCCTAACAGCCTGAAAGCAGGCGCTGTTTGTGACACCCTTTTATGGTCGCAGCAGCTCAAGATGCCGCCCACGTTCACACCCCTGATGAGGGGCAGAGCTGGGGCCTGACATGGCCACCCCGGCCAGGACGCACCGTCATCATGGTCCCACAGGGGCCGTGCCTGGCAGGGGTCACCACAGACATCCAGTCCCGGTCGCCCCTCTCGGTGAAGCCGGAGCACTGGCTGTCACGCAGGTACATGAAGACCTTCTCGAAGCCCAGGCTCTTCAGCTGGCACTTGCTCAAGGACACCTTGATGTCGTTGGGCCCACACTCCAGCCTGCGCTCCAGGAGGGCAATGTCTGAAACAGGCAAGTAGGTCGTCAGGTCCAGCACTCCCCGGCACCCAGCCCCGGGAGGACCCTGAGTCCTGCCTATCTAGTTCCTGGTGGTGCCCCTGACCGAGTGAGAGTCACAGGACTGGACAGCTGCATCACTGGAGGTCTCCACTGGCCTCACATCCTCCCTTTGTTACCCCTCATGTGGCTGTATAAAAAAAAAGAGTGACTTTTGGGGTATTCTCTGCCTCAGCATTAAACAGTGAATCTCAGTAGCACAAAACCACAAGCAAACGAAAGAAAGATGTTAATAAGTTAATTGCTGTTTCTTTTCATCCTTGCACACCCCGGAAAGCCCTCACTTGCTGCTATTGTCTTAAACACCCGACACATGCTAATTTCCCTCAGTCTGCATGCTTGGGGGTGCCTACAGGGAGGTACTGTTGGATGGTTTTTGAGACTGTTCTAAATGGAAGGACACACAGCGGTGGGGATGGAGCAGCTGTCATTGTTTGCACTTTTTGCTCTGCCCTACCTCAGGTGCTATCACCAATGGACGCAGTAGTGTATTGATGTCCCACATTTACTTAAAAGAAGGGATTCAAGTGAGTAACAGAAATGGCATTATAGATAACCCTTGGGAAAGGCAAAGTTGTCCAATCGTACTTGGATGTGACAGATTAGGAGCGAAGTCTGGGACTGGGACGTGACAATCTGCTTCAGTAACGGTGCAAATGGGGAGACCGAGGCTTCCAGAAAGGCCCGTCCTACTCGGTGCCTGCAGGGGGGCAGTGAAGAGCTGGAAACTACAGCGGGGTCTCCAGTTCTGGGTAACAGGTTCGGGCAGCCTATCCCACCGGACTCCACTGAGGCTAAGGTGATCCCTCAAGCTTTGGAATCTGAGCTCAGAGAACACCTTCCTGCTTTTACTGGTTATTAATGGAGCGGCTCTTTGCTCCAATTGGACATCTTGCAAGCTCCGAGTCATCCCCACGCCCCCCCCAACCTCACGTCAGGAAATGTCCCTCCACCCCATCGCTGGCTGGCCTCACCGGATACGTTGAAGTCCCGTTTACACTGGCAGTGCCATCTGCCGTCATTCGATTTACAGTCCTCATCTACACCGCACTCTTCACATGTCCCCTCGAGGGAGCTGGGGTCTGCCGGGTCACAAACACAGTCAGTCGACACGGACAGAGCCCCCCACCCCCAGATCCCTGTGGTGTCCACCCAAGACTTGGGATGGGGGAGGAAGGTGCCGCTCACCTGTGCAATAGGCCAGATAGCACTCGGGGGGCGCCGTCAGGTTGTAGACGTAGTAGCCACCGGCGCAGGCCTTCACCTGCACGGGCGCCTCCCACAGACAGCAGTGGCCGCTCCAGTGCGCACAGGCCCTGCGGCTCACGATGCCCTCCTCAATGGACGGGTGCGTGCCGTTGAGCCACATGGGCGCGGCCGTGTTGCAGCGCAGCACCGGCACGCAGGTCTCCGCCATGCGCACGCCGCCCTGCCCCACGAAGCGGTACCAGCCGCTCAGGCCCGAGTCGCAGGAGTAGCCCGCGCCGTACTCGGCGCTGCGCCAGTACTGGCCCAGCGCGCTGTAGGCCTGGCACGGGTCAGCGCACACCAGCTCGTGGCCCTCGGGCACGCAGGCCAGCCCCGGCCCACAGGAGCCTGGCGAGCACGCACAGTGTTGCCCATCCCCCCAGTAGCCCGCGGGGCACACGCACGAGTAGTTGCCCACGCTGTTGACACAGGTAGCCAGCGCGTGACAGCGGCCAAGCCCCGGCTCTGAGCACTCGTCCACGTCGGTGCAGCCCAGACCCGGCGTCATCCGGAAGCCGGCTGGGCAGGTGCAAGCATAGGAGCCTGGGGTGTTCACGCAGATGCTGTTGGGGGAGCAGTTGTGGGCACCCACAAGGGCGCATTCGTCCAGGTCCACGCACAGGAGACCGTCACCAGTGAAGCCCGCCTGGCAGTAGCACGAGGTGGCAGCCCCCTCCTCCACGCAGATGGCATCGCTGTGGCATTCAGAGCAGCTCCCTGGGGACGGAGGAGCCTGGCCTCAGAGTGGGGTAGCCAGGCAGTGACCACTAGAGACTGGGCGTCCGGAAGCATATGTGTGTCAAGCAGGACTCTTCCCCAGGGCTCTGCTAAACCAAAGAAAACTCCCCGCTACGTCCGTCTCTTCTGCGCCTTGCAGGGCCTCCCCCTGCAGCTTCTTTCAAAACACCCATGTGCCCACATCCCCGGGAAATAAGGTGATTCTTGCCGCTGCAAGGATTTAGGGGACGCTGTGGCCCCGACCCCCCCTTTGCGCTTCTGCCTTTTGCTCAGCTTCCTGGTCTCCTCTCCGAGGGTGACCCCCCCAACTCCGCCTCGTGGGGGCCTCACACTTGTGTCTTGCTCTGTGCGCTGCTCCGGGACCATAAAAACACTAAAATGAGCGCATGGTCCTTCACTAAGCACTTACGAAACGCCAGCCCAGGGATGGCACTTGTCATGCGTTAGCTCAGGGACACCTTCCCAGTGTGGGGTCCCGAGTGTAGCGACCCTAATATTCTAAAGATGAAGGTCTCAACCACTGACTCTATGGGTCAGTGGAGGTGGCAGGACCTCACAGGTGTATGCTGTGGACCACAGACCGCCATGGTGTTTACCGGGTCATCTAAGTCACCCAGATGGGGAGGCGCCCAGCTCCCCGCTCCAAGGCCTCTTCAGGGTAGAGGGGAGGGATTGAGGAGCCACTGGGTGTGTTCAGATCTCCAGTGCTGTCAAGTATGTTTCTGCCCTTCCAATAAAGTGCATTTTGGGTTCCCATCTAGATGGACACTGCATTTGGGGTGTTCTGGGTGAGTGTTGCATTTGTGTGGTCAGGAGACCATGGTGGCAGCACCCCTGGGAGCTTGTGAGAGATGTAGAGTCCCAGGCTCCCCTCCTGCTGAATCAGAGCCTACACTTTCAGCAAATTTCTGGGTGAGCCCTGTGTGCATTAAAATGTAAGAAATGGATTTGAATAAAGACTGCAAATCCCAAGCAAGATAGGAGAGGAATTGAGACCTCTTCAGCCAAGGTAGTGACGTTCACACGCACACACACACACACACACACACACACACCACACACCACTTACTTGCTTCCAAGGTATCATTGCCTGCAGCTACGACGGCCCACGAGGTCATCAGCATCACCATGTGTGTCAAGGTTGGAGAGAAAAGCCAATGCATCCTTTCGACTCTTCACAGCTACTTCTGGTCCAGGGAAGCCCTGTCCAAAGGGAAGGACCACTTGGCCCCTTCAGGCTCCTTCCTGTCCCTGGTGCCTGAAGGCTTGTGAACAGGGGTTGTGGAATAATTGTGACCTAACCCCTCCCCATCCAGGAGAAGCTTTTTCTCTGAACAGCCAGTGTACAGCACTGTGGCCCTTGTTCTGGGTGGGGATGGGGGGCTTCCCCCCAAAAAACCACTCCTGTGTTCCCACGAACAGCCAGCCTTGACTCCCCAAGTCTCGCACATTTGGAAGAACTCAGTCTTATTTGGAGCAATGAGATGAGGCATTTTGGCCTCGTCATCTCAGTCCATACAGCTTTGGGCTTTAGCAGGGGGTTTCCCCTTCTGGGAAACCTCCAACTTGTCCAGGTCCATGTACTTATTGAGCAAACATTTATTGAACAGCTACCATGCAGCCAACAGGAGGCCAGGCACCAAAGACAGCAAGGAACCCAACAGATAAGATTCCTTAATGCAACTCCCTGTAACCAAGGGGAAATTAACTTCACAAAGCAACAGGAGGTCTCCAGGGCAGTCACTCCCAGTGTGTGGAAGCTTGGAGCCTGCCTGTAGGGATCAAATCCCTGTTTTACCAGTCACGAATGGGTGACAATATATTTCAGGTCACTCAGACTAAGTTTCCTCATTTATGAAATAGAGATTATTACTCCCACAAATCAAATGTCTGTGCTGTGTCAGGCTCAGGTTGAGGTCTCTGTGCCAGAATGGTGCCCCCCACTGTAAGGAAAATACTTTATGCCATGAGTCTTGTGCAGTTGCTTGTATATGTGCTACCCCCCTAGACACAAAAGGTTTATAAAGCCCTTAATATACATTATACTATATAGATCACTATATAGTACATACTATAGTATATATATACTACATACTATAGTATACTATATAGGTTATACCATATAGTATAAAACATACAAAGTTTTTAAAGCATCATGTATTATATATAAAAGTTTTATAAAACAGTATTATTATGATGGTGTGTGTGACTTGTGATATAACCTATTATATTTGATGAAAAGAAAATTCTGGGATAACCCACCCCTGATTTATGATCCATGTCGTGGGTTGTGACTGCATGTTGTCGTCTCAGGGGTGAACTAAAACAAAGCCTGCAAAGTAGGAGCCAACACAGAGGAAATGTACGTTGCTGTGTCCCCGTGTCTGTGACATGTGGGGTGAGTGAAAATATGCAGATGCTACTAGGGAGGGTTGGCTCCCAAGAGGGAGCTTGACTTACCAAGGATCACGAAGCCAACAGTCAGTGCGGAATGACTCAGTGTGGGTGTCCAAACTCTTAGCTGCCTCTCCCTTTCCTTCAAGCAGGATGGAAACCAGAAGACTAGATGGGGGAGAAGAGGGAAGAGAAATGCAGTAGCTTTACCTGCAGGGAGGTAGAATTACAGGTGTGCACCCCTATATATACAGCTCCCCCTCGCTGGCCATGTCTCGTCCAATTATTGTCTGATTCTGCTGCTTGAGACTGTTTTCTTGGGGGTGGAATGTTTTCCCCTTGGGCACACTGTTTTCCTGCTCTGGTTGTGAGGTGGTTGTTGATCTTTTTCCTAATAGGTAGAACCCCAAATGATTTGACATTGGTGGTCACACTTGTGCCAGTAAATACAAGGCCCCGGGTTGCCCACATTGGAATCAAGGATTCCTTAGTTAGAAATTAACTGAGAAAGCAGTGCCAGGTGCTGGCTTTTTCTTGGTCACTTGCAAGGACAGGGTTTACCCACGTGGTGAAGTGGAGACTGGTATCTGAAGTTGCTGCAGGAGAAACCCCATGTTCATGGCCATGCACCTGTGGTCACCGGGGTTCCATGTCCTGAAGAAGGCAGCTTCTGAAGGACCCCCATCTTCTTGGGCTCAGTCAGGTCTCCTGGGGTCCAGACATGAGCAGGAGAGGAGCTGAAAATGACTGAAGTTTGATCGGGAAGGTAATTCAGGGCATCACGGGACCAGAACCATTTTAGGAAGCAGGCATCCGTGAGGGGCCGCTGCGGGGAGGTGGGCATTTGCCTCTGACTATGACGCCAGGCCCTCTGGATTGTGATGGGCCGTTTGTAGGGGACCAGTAGTTTCACTTCTTAACCTCCCAGAGATTGTGTTTCTCATCCAGCAAGTGAGATACCCATGTCTGGTGTGG